TGTCAGTAGTGAGTTGGGTGGTGGGTTTTATCGTTGGTCTGTCAGTGGTGAGTTGGGTGTATCGTTAGTCTGTCAGTTGTGAGTTGGGTGTATCGTTAGTCTGTCAGTGGTGAGTAGGTTGTATCGTTAGTCTGTCAATAGTGAGTAGGTTGTATCGTTTGTCTGTCAGTAGTGAGTTGGGTGGTCGGTATATCGTAAGTCTGACAGTGGTGAGTTGGGTGTATCGTTGGTCTGTCAGTAGTGAGTTGGGTGTATCGTTAGTCTGTCAGTTGTGAGTTGGGTGTATCGCTGGTCTGTCAGTGGTGAGTAGGTTGTATCGTTAGTCTGTCAGTAGTGAGTAGGTTGTATCGTTAGTCTGTCAGTAGTGAGTTGGGTGGTGGGTTTTAATCTTTTGTCTGTCAGTGGTGAGTTGGGTGTATCGTTAGTCTGTCAGTGGTGAGTAGGTTGTATCGTTAGTCTGTCAGTAGTGAGTAGGTTGTATCGTTTGTCTGTCAGTAGTGAGTTGGGTGGTGGGTTTTATCGTTGGTCTGTCAGTGGTGAGTTGGGTGTATCGTTAGGCTGTCAGTAGTGAGTAGGTTGTATCGTTTGTCTGTCAGTAGTGAGTAGGTTGTATCGTTTGTCTGTCAGTAGTGAGTAGGTTGTATCGTTTGTCTGTCAGTGGTGAGTAGGTTGTATCGTTTGTCTGTCAGTGGTGAGTAGGTTGTATCGTTTGTCTGTCAGTGGTGGGTAGGTTGTATCGTTAGTCTGTCAGTAGTGAGTAGGTTGTATCGTTTGTCTGTCAGTAGTGAGTAGGTTGTATCGTTTGTCTGTCAGTGGTGAGTAGGTTGTATCGTTAGTTTGTCAGTAGTGAGTAGGGTGTATCGTTAGTCTATCACTAGTGAGTAGGTTGTATCGTTTGTCTGTCAGTAGTGAGTTGGTTGGTGGGTATATCGTAAGTCTGACAGTGGTGAGTGGGTTTTATCGTTAGTCTATCACTAGTGAGTAGGTTGTATCGTTTGTCTGTCAGTGGTGGGTAGGTTGTATCGTTAGTCTGTCAGTAGTGAGTAGGTTGTATCGTTTGTCTGTCAGTAGTGAGTAGGTTGTATCGTTTGTCTGTCAGTGGTGAGTAGGTTGTATCGTTAGTTTGTCAGTAGTGAGTAGGGTGTATCGTTAGTCTATCACTAGTGAGTAGGTTGTATCGTTTGTCTGTCAGTAGTGAGTCGGGTGGTGGGTATATCGTAAGTCTGACAGTGGTGAGTGGGTTTTATCGTTAGTCTATCACTAGTGAGTAGGTTGTATCGTTTGTCTGTCAGTAGTGAGTTGGGTGGTCGGTATATCGTAAGTCTGACAGTTGTGAGTTGGGTGTATCGTTAGTCTGTCAGTAGTGAGTAGATTGTATCGTTTGTCTGTCAGTAGTGAGTTGGGTGGTCGGTATATCGTAAGTCTGTCAGTAGTGAGTTGGGTGGTCGGTATATCGTTAGTCTGTCAGTGGTGAGTTTGATGGTCGGTATATCGTAAGTCTGTCAGTAGTGAGTTGGGTGGTCGGTATATCGTAAGTCTGTCAGTTGTGAGTTGGGTGGTCGGTATATCGTAAGTCTGTCAGTAGTGAGTTGGGTGGTGGGTATATCGTAAGTCTGTCAGTAGTGAGTTGGGTGGTGGGTGTATCGTTAGTCTGTGAGTAGTGAATTGTATGGTGGGTGTATCGTTAGTCTGTAAGTAGTGAGTAGGGTGGTGGGTGTACCTTTAGTCTGTCAGTAGTGAGTAGGGTGTATCGTTAGTCTGTCAGTAGTGAGTTGGGTGTATCGCTGGTCTGTCAGTGTTGAGTCGGGTGTATCGTTAGTCTGTCAGTAGTGAGTTGGGTGGCGGGTTTTATCGTCGGTCTGTCAGTGGTGAGTTGGGTTATCGTTAGTCTGTCAGTTGTGAGTTGGGTGTATCGTTAGTCTGTCAATGGTGAGTAGGTTGTATCGTTAGTCTGTCAGTGTTGAGTAGGTTGTATCGTTAGTCTGTCAGTAGTGAGTTGGGTGGTGGGTTTTATCGTTGGTCTGTCAGTGGTGAGTTGGGTGTATCGTTAGTCTGTCAGTGGTGAGTAGGTTGTATCGTTAGTCTGTCAGTAGTGAGTTGGGTGGTCGGTATATCGTAAGTCTGACAGTAGTGAGTTGGGTGGTCGGTATATCTTTAGTCTGTCAGTGGTGAGTTGGGTGTATCGTAAGTCTGTCAGTGGTGAGTAGGTTGTATCGTAAGTCTGTCAGTGGTGAGTTGGGTGTATCGTAAGTCTGTCAGTGGTGAGTAGGTTGTATCGTAAGTCTGACAGTGGTGAGTTAGTTGTGCCCCAGGTGTAGGTGTACTACCCTTTACGTACTTCGTTGACCCGTCCATATTTCCGACCTCACAACTAGATCGTACATTGTTTACACCTGGCTTACATACCACCACAACCCCCAGCACCGTACACGTAATTGTTGATTGGTCCAATAAATCAAACAGCCAAGTGGCGGGGTGTCGAGACGAGAACCACTTCACTCAAAGTGGTGAAATATTGAAGTGTTAATTGCAATAATGATTTTCGGAAGATGACAAAAAAAACATATCACGGGTTCTGTTCCTGGCTTGAATGACAGGACAATCACAAGGGTGATAGCATATCTCCCGCGGATACCCCTGTCCCAGGTAGACAGGCTGAGGGGAGAGGCTAGGGAGACGCTGTGAACGGGTCGAGGAGAGTGTTGCAGTGAGGAGAGATCACGGAGACGCTGACGATTTGTAAACACCAGACAGGGTGAATATGTAGCAGCTATGGCATACTCCCTGACGGCTTAGCGGTATATATATTTTCACATAATCAGAAGGAAAATCATATAAACAGACTAGCAGCTTTGAAGCTTTTCGCGCGACATACATGTGATTAATAGCTTTAATATTAACTAATATCTGTACTGTACAATACATGTAATTTTAAGGTGGTATATGCGCACGCACGCGCACACACACATAAACAAACACACACACATAAACAAACACACACACATTAACACACACACATAAACACCCACATTAACACACACGCACGCACACACACAAGAATTTCATATAATCTGTGTTGGAATTGTGACTATCAAAAGACAAGGAAGTTCGGGAGATTGCAGTTAGAGACCTCATTTCACAGATTGCTTTAACATTCCTGGATATGAGAGATTATGTCCGCTGTGGATTAGCTCTCTGGCTCTAAACGGCCTACCTACAAGGGGGAAAGTACCAAATCTGACCCATGATTTCCCTGAGATAAATAATGTCTTTACCCCGGAAGAAGCCGGATTTAGAAAGGTGTACTCCACAAATGATAAGCGGGCCTTTCTTTATTTGGAGAATATGGAAATTGATATCGTAGACAAGTATACGTACTTCGGTGTTATGTTCAGTGGAAACAGAAATTTCAAGCCAGCAATAAAATGTTTACCGGAGAGCATATCTAAAGCCATGTTCTGTCTTCTAAAAAAATCGAGAAATTATAACATTCCTTTGGATTGTTTACTTAAGGCTTTTGATGTAATGATAGTACCAATATTATTATATGGCTGTGACAATTGGGCAAACGAAAATATGAACATAGCTGAAAAGACCCACCTAAAATTCCTAAAACCAGCCTGTGGTCTTAGAAATGCTACCCCAAATTTTATGGTTTATGGAGAACTAGGTAGAATACCTTTATCGATTTATGAAGCTAAACGGGTAGTTAACTTTTGGCATAAACTTTGTAAACCCGGACCTTTGTATACCATTGCAAATTATATATACGTTCGCTCATTTGCAATTTCTATCTAATAATGAACAGATAAGAAATGTGAGGCAAATACTTAATACGTGTGGTCTGTCCTATATATTTTATGACCCACAAAGCGTTTCAAGCCAGTGGCTAACTGCCCAGATAGAAAAATAATTAAAAGATCAGTTTTATCAAAATTGGAGATCTGACGTAGAGAGAAGTTCAAAAGGGTATTATTATAAATATTTAAAAGATATTCCGTCATCTTTTTCTTCTCCTATCTAAACAAATATATTATCCTATTCTAAAACATTGAACCTGTAACCATAATCTACCTGTCAAAGTTGGCCGTTAACTTGGTACAGACAGAGAACTTAGGACATGTACATTGTGTATGTCGCCAGCTATATCATGTTAAGAAACCTTTTCTCCTGTACCACCGAGGGTGGTTCTTTTTTGTGAGAAATAAATAAATGATGATGATGATGATGATGATGATGATGATGATGATGGTGTGTGTAATCCCCGTATTGGAACATGAACACCACTTCTGCATAATCTGTCCTCATCTTAAGGTGGGTGCATCCTAAATCAGGAAGAGGTGGATCTACAGGCATTTTTTCGTACTTTAGCAACGGAATTATACTTGATGATAAGGGCTAGAACACATCTTTATTTGGGTTTTGCTATTTTTACAAAACGAGAAGAAAATGCACGTGAGATGGCTACGTGGCCATTAATTCTGAAAAAACAAATACAGCAGTCGCATTTCAAACTGCGTTTGATAGCTAGCTGATGGGTTCACTTACCTGTAAAATGATTTATGAGACATACAACTTTCTATGGATAGCAACGTCTTTATACTCGGAATTCACCTGATGAAGAGGCAAGAAGTAGCCCTGAAACTTTGTTTCAAACAATAAATACACCACGCAACGCCAGAAAATAACCAGTCTCGATTATCCCCCACACAGATTCCATTGGGCGTAAAAGGCAAAATGACGGTGAGAATAATATGAATTGATCACTGAAAATCAGTGATGACACCATGTCTTTATGTTCTTTATACTTTGAAGTTCCTATCAAAGAATGGAATCAGGGTTTTAAGTTGAAATAAAAGGGCTAACATACACTTGCAATGTAACAGTTTGCCCAGACGTTAAACAAGGAAAAAATTATTTGCTGACATTACGTAACAAGTTCCTATCTCGCCAGTTGTTGGTTATCTCGACCTCTGACCTCATGGATAATCTAATTTCAGGAAGTGACGACACGATGTCTGGAGGCTTCCTGACTCCACAGATGAGCGCACGCAACCCGCTAGGCCGGCGAGGAACAAGGTGGGTGTTAGGACCTAGGTAGAAGCTTGGGGGTTTCTTGGTTTCCATGACTTCCTGTTATTTATCTTTATTATTATTCTGACAGGTTACTGCTACACAATGAGACTGGTGAGTAACCATTTGATGCTATGTTGTATAGATCTTGTGTGCCGAATAGATTCGACAGAGTACTGTATTAGTATTGGAGGGTAAGTTGCTTTTTATTCTGATAAAAAGCCAATATGGTAAAGCGTGCGTATGATAAATGCTGGGCCTGATTTTACAGTTGAGTTGAGTTTCGCTGTCAAGCTGTTTTAGATAACATAAAGTCCTAGTTTCAAATATAAATAAACAAAAGTTTTATATCTCACAAACTTATTTTACGGGTCATGATAGCGCTGATGAAAATGGATTTAAATTTCAAACCGGAATTCCTGTTAGCACTTCTAGAAAGTGTCATTTTGTCACAAAGTTGGTAGAAAGGAAATCAGTGCAAGGTTAATGCACCTGTATCATTAATGACATTCTGAAACTGTAAGAATGTGAAGGAGCTTAAAATATATTTCATGTTCACGAAAAGGTGTACAATGTACTAACTACCGGACAAAGAAAGTATACACCCGCTTTTGGTGGTGGCTATAACAGAAACAAACAAGACATGGTTATTCGAGGGTGATTTAATTCACACGGGTATCATGGCTGTGTTTTGGTCTTTATGTTTGCAGTGTTTCGGCGACTGTTTTCAGACAAGTAATATAACGTTTTGATAACGTTTGTAATTTTTATCCAATTATCAAGTCTATATTTTCTTATGCTCTTCAGTTAGTCTTCGTGTAACGTTAGGTCGAATAAAGTAATGATAAATGTAGGTATGGCCACACTAATTTTAACTTTACAAATGTGTCAATATACAAGAAAACAAAACTCACAAACACATAATGATGATGTTACTGAAAGGCATGATGGGGCATAATTATATTAACCACAAATAACACAACGCTGTTGTGAATTTTTAAAACATTTATTTTGAGTATTGGGCAATACAGTTGATACATTTGCATAGGGTAGGTCTATTTAAAAATAGTTTCTTGTTTAACGCCGCACTAAGCAGGATTCCAGCCATATGACGGCGGTCTGTAAATAATCCAGTCTGGACCAGATCATCCAGTGATTGACACCAAGAGCATCGAACTACGCAATTGGAATATGATGTTATGCATCGACCAATTCGGCGAGCCTGACTACCAAATCCTGTTCGTCGCCTCTTACGGCAAGCATAGGTTGCTGAAGACCTATTCTAACCTGGGTCTTTATTTAAAAAGTAGATCGAAGGAAATGGAAGCAATTTCTGGCGCAAATGTAAACATGTGGAAATAGTATCAAAACTGCCAACAACATTGGCAGATGCACATACTCAAATAATAGATCACATTCTTTTTACACTTGGCATTTGGTTATAATAATGTAAATGAAAATACTAAGGGCTCCATATGGCAAAAAAGTCATACTAGATAAGGTCTTTTTGTCACAACCACAGTTGCACATACTCAAAATATTATCACGTAGTTGGAGAACATTTCAATACCGGGACTAATCAATAACGGAGATTCCTCGTCTCTTGTTTTACGTTCTTTGGTCAGTTTCTTCTTTGTATTTCTTTCTTTCAAAGAATAGTAATTGTGATCATGATGAGTTGAGTTACTTCGTTTTTTTCTATGTACTGTTTTTTATCCGGTGTCTGTAACTGTTGTGGAATGTGGTTTACTTGTAACAATGACTGGTTTGAGTTCATATGATGATGATTGATTGGTTTGTCGTTTAACGCCGCACTCAGCAATACCCCAGCTATATGACGGCGTTCTGTAAATAATCGAGTCTGGACCAGACAATCCAGTGCCTAATTTCATGAGCATCGATCCACGCAAATGGGATCGATGACATGCCTCAACCAAAGCCTGACCACCCGATCCCGTTTGTCGCCTCGTACGACAAGCATAGTCGCCTGATATACTGTTAAGATGTAACATAACAATTCATTCATACTACTAAACAGAAGTAAAACCGCTTGTCCATTTTGATCAATCTGACCCAAACCATTCCGCTGATGAGAGTCAAATAATGCATACGAATCAAAATCCGTAAAAATTGCAATGGAGACATCATTAAAAGTTACCAAAAATGACGGGGATATCAATATTGCTTGTTGAAATGATTCTATGAAAAAAAAATCCCTGCTTCAATTTTCGGAGCACCTGTGACGGAGCCATAAAACTGATCTGTTATGTAGACAATATCGCTTGAGGCAGTGGCTGCTGGGAGATGATTATGACCTAAATACCCCTCATAGCCTTCGGTGTTAACTATGTGACTGTAGAGAGCTGTGCCTTCATCCAACAGATGATCGAGGTCAGTGGAACAGGGTACAGACAGCAAATAGATTTGAGCCATGGGACACAAAATATATGAGTGACCAGAGCTACGGCTGTACATTGAATCCATTAAACGGTTGAAAAATACTACAGCCTTGATGCAAATTCGCCGACACACTACTCCGATTTTGCTTTGACTTTGCGTCATGTGGCTATGTGCGGTGCACTGATTAAAAAAAACACGGGGAACTGGGTTAATTCAAAATACGGAATATAACTATTCCAAATATTTCCAGTGAATATGAGCATCCAAACAATCAAAAGTGTGGTATGTAGAATGTGGAATTCAGCCATATTACATTTAAATTGAGATGTCGTCGTTGTTCATAAATAAGCATATTCAGAACATAATTTTTTATTATGCTGTTATTTACGATCTCCGGAGCACAGTTCTTCTTTTGTGTACACTGTGAACATCAGAAAATTAGTTCTTGAGGAAAAAAGGACATCGGATTACACATGAATTGTTTAATAATGTCAGTTAATGACCAGAAACGGTCAGATGCATCAATTAACTACATACGATTTTGAAGTATCTCTTATTGCTGGAAAAGAATAGCATCAACATTCCACGCACATGATTTGTATGTTTTGTTTCCGTAAATGCGTGGCTTGAAATTTCAAATTAACCAACGTGTCGACATACATGCTACAAAATTAACGTTTCCCGTATACTTCCCCGATTAAGGGCGGGGAAGAATAAACTTGGTATTGAAAATGACTGTATTTATTTACAAACCCTTGGAGTGGAACTGTAAAACTGGTTTTCCTTCTAATAGATATATACAGTAAACTACGGTAATAACGAACTCAAATAAGAGACCACAGATTTTAGTTCGGTATAACCGTAGTTCGTTATAAGCATATATACAGCATAAATACAGCGAATGCCCTGGACCAAATAACAGTACCTTTATATCCGTTAGTTCGTTATAGGCATGTTCGTTATAAACGTAGTTTACTGTATAATACATCAGGTCAGCAGTTAAATCATGTCCCCCTCATAAGGTAATGGCTCTAACTGTATGTCACCTCACATGTATGTTGTGTATGTGGGCGTTAGGCCTTCGCACAATAAAGATTTACTAACTTCCCTTAGAGGTGACCGTGTCAGTTTGATGTAGACACAGCACTTTACTTCAGGATGAAAAAATCGCAAAAGGTAATAATTACACTTATATCTCCTTTATTCACAAGTGCTTGTCTTTGAACGATTTTTTACGTTACCTGAACATAAATTTTACTTTGTTAACATAATTGACAAGACATGGAACCCACCCAACTTATAGGTTGTTACGGTGAAATGATAACTTCAGATACGTTCCTAAAAGTAGCCATGAGAAGTAAGTTTTGTTGAATAATAATGAATTACACCATGGTGGTCATGCATTCGAGTTACCTGCCCTTGAGAATAATTATTGTCTATTTTGTTTAAAATAACACGTCCCATTTTAATTCTGGAAACCCAAAAGTCCAGAAACTCTACGGTCTTTGCCGACTCTCGGTCAAAGGTATTGACAAAATTAAACATGCTGTTTTCATGGGAACATACCAAGGGAGAAAAAATGAAAAAACATTGTTCAAAAACTCAATATTTACACTATCTCGCCCATGGGCGAAGACTGGCCCATGGGCGAGAATATGTTCCTTTACTCAAAACTCATGTTTTTGTTTCGCAAATACATTAAATGTAGTCATTCAAGTATCATGACACAAAATATAACTCATTTTAACTTAATTCAACTATTTTATAGCGATATTGAATTATTTCGCCCATGTGCGAGAAAAAGGTTTGGCCCATGGGCGAGAATATGTTCCTTTACTTAAAACTCATGTTTTTGTTTCGCAAATACATTAAATGTATTCATTCAAGTATCAAGACAGAAAATGTAACTCATTTTAACTTATTCAACTATTTTATAGCGATATTTAAAATATTTCGCCCATGGGCGAGAAAAAGGTTTGGCCCATGGGCGAGAATACTTTCCTTTACTCAAAACTTATGTTTTTGTTTCGCAAATACATGCAGGTGTTCTTACCATTTTCATGGCACATAATGTTACTCAATTTTACTTAATTCCATTATGTTATAGCGTTATTGAAATATTTCACCCATGGGCGAGAAAAGGTTTGGCCCATGGGCAGGCGCATGGGCGAGAATATTTCCCTTTGCTCAAAACTTGTGTTTTAGTGTCGCATATACATAGTTCTTAGAAGTTTCATCTCACATAATTTAACAAATTTTAACTTAATTCAACTATTTTACGGCGTTATTAAAATATTTCGCCGATGTTTTCGTCAGTCCCTTTAAAGCATCAACTAACTGTGTGCAAAGTATATTGTATCATGTGAAATATACTTTATATTATATCATAACATTACTATTTAGAAAGGGCCTTTGGTTGGATGTTTCCTTTATAGAAGTTCTACAAATTTCACCTGTTTTACATATTGTAGCGATCTTTAATGAATCCGGCCTTACCTCTCAAAACGAATTCATGTGCGTGTACTCCAATTCATTGGAGTTATTTTCCACAACATCACAGTTTAGTTAGTTTCTATTTCATTTCCCATTTCATGTCCCGTTGATAC